CGCCCTGGGACTGACCTGGGCATTCAGTCCCCTGCAGTGGCTCCCAGGGTCTCCCCTGTCCTGTCGCCTCGGTGCCTTCACACACCGGCAGGGCCGAGAGGCTCCTCCTCAGGAAACTAATTGAATTGGTAAACACTGGGCACGTTCAGGTCTTGGCTGACGCGGAGGGTCTGATCTCACGGCCCGCGACGCCCGGCCAGGCCTCGGCATCAGCCCGCCGTAGGGACCGCGGCCGCCGCAGGCGAGCGATACAATGCTGTTAAATATCGCGCAGTAACGTGCGTTTGGCACCGTTTGGCGTTACAGAGATTTTCTTTCAAGCAATTAGCTCCCTGGAATAAGACTGAATTCAGTGATTTTCTTTTCCTAATTTACTTAAAATATACACTTGACATTTTAACTAAACTGTCGTTTGAAGGAGAGTTGACATTTTGGAATCACGAGCTTGTGGGTGATGGAGTCTGGGCGTAAGGAGCCTGGCAGCGCCGCCCAGTGGAGCCGCCTCCCTCGTGCCCCTGGACCTTGGGCTCCAGGCTGCCTTCTGCTGGGCGGCTGGGCGCTGGGTCTCTGATGCTTTCACCCCTTCAGCAGCCTCACCCCTAACATCCAGGAGGCTGCCCGGGGGGTCTGAGGGTCTGGGAGGAGCGTGCACAGCCTGCGGGGGTTCCCCAGGGCAGTGCACAGGCTGCGGGGTTCCCCAGGGCAGTGCACAGCCTGTGGGGTTCCCCAGCACAGCCTGCGGGGTTCCCCAGGGCAGTGCACAGCCTGCGGGGTTCCCCAGGGCAGTGCACAACCTGAGGGGTTCCCCAGGGCAGTGCATCCCAGTCATTTGTTGTGAGACAGATGCAGAGTAAACGAACTCCATTCCAGAGCTCGTGTTTCTGCCGGATGATGGGGTCTGAGGATGTGGGGGCGCCACAGACCCCTCTGCTCCCCTGAGAATCACTCGCCTCTCAGGGGCCTGACCCGCACACACACTGCGTTGAGAGGGGTCCCCACCTCCCCCACACACTGCGTGGGAGAGGGGCCTGCCCACAGGCACACTGGGCTGCAAGGGGACCACTTCCTCCAACTGGATGTGCAGAAGATGGGGTTCCAGAGGACAGAGGGGCGCCTCTAGAAAGGGGCAGACAGAGAGGCGTGTGGGTCGGAGCAGCCGTGGACGTTTCACTGAGGAGATGGAGTTCTGTCCCTGCTCTCCAACTCCATGGCCTTCTAACCCTTGTCTTCCTCCTCTGTCCAGGAGTCAATAGGGCGTTGGTGCCGCCCTGAGGGGTTGGATGGGATGCAATGGGGTGTTTCCTGCAGTGAGTTATGGCGGGGAGTGCAGGAGGCTGGGCCCCGGTAAGCCAACCCCCTCCAGCCCAGTGCAAAGGCCAGCGTAGCTTTTCAGGGGAAATTATGGCAGAAATTTTCTGGTAGAGAGATACACGAGCGTCTGTGGGTTGGTTTCTATTCCAGTCACTCGGTGGTTTAAATGCACCCCCGCATCCTCTGAACTGCTCCCTTTCGAGTCCCAGTGTGAGAAGAGGCAGTCGGGTGCCCCCAGAGGCCGTGGCGGGGTGGGGGGCGGGAGGGAGGAGAGAAACGGGGCGTGGACGCTGTCCTTTCTTCTTTCTTGTTTCTGTAACCCCCACGTGGCAGCACCCTGGCAGGTATGGCCGAGAGCGGGTGCCTGCAGGGGGACAGGCGGGGCCCGGCCAGGCGGGCAGGGAGGGGCAGGTGCTGGCAGCAGAACCAGCCGCTCTGCACATTCCCACGCGGCCCCAGGAAAACTGTTTCCTTTCAGCCAGCACTCAGAGAGAAGCAACAGCTCCCTGGTCTGCAAACAGACCAAACTGGTTGTTCAAAGACAGTGAGATGACACTCACAGGTGTCCCCAGGGCTCAGGGAAGAGCATGAGGAAGGAAATAAACAGCCTCCGGCCGCGCATCAGCAGGGAGCCTGGGAGGGGGGGCTACCAGCCATTTTTACGAGAGTCCTCGTTTTTATAAGATGGAGTGACGGCTATAAACATTCCACCCACAAACCTAGCTCCCCGAGGTCCTCTAGGAGAGAGGGTGAGATCAAGGCATCGGCCACCCCCAGTTCCGAACCAATGAGGGGCGGTCTGTTCCTCTGCCAATAACATCCGGCCGGTCGTCCACAGACACCGTGTGTCTCTACTTAGCAACTGACTGGTTTCTTCCTTCAGCATTCGTCATGTTTAAAAATATATTTTTATTAATTTCAGAGAAGAAGGGAGAGGGAGAGAGAGAAAAAACATCCGTGTTGTGAGAAAAAATTGATTGGCTGCCTCCTGCACGGCCCCTCCTGGGATGGAGCCCGCGCCCCGGGCCTGTGCCCTGACCGGGAATGGAACCGTGGCTTCTTGGTTCCTAGATTGATGCCCGCCACTGGGAGGCACTGGCCAGGCCTTTACCATTTTTAGGACATAGTTCTGTCCATGATTTGTCACACCTAAGCCTGTTATTTTATTTGTTCATGGTTATAAAGGCCATCCTCGCTTCTGTCCCGCTCAGCGCTATCAGATAGAAACGGCTGTTTTCTATGCATTGTTTCCTAGGCGTGGGCTTACTTCCCATGTGAGCTCTGGGAGGCTCCTCATGGCTGTGCGACACAGTGTGTGTGGGTGATGGTACCACCTGCTAGTCGGGCAGTGTGATCGCACCCTTTCGGGTCTGTGTACGCTTGTCGCTGTATACGCTCCGCCTGCTGCGCAGCCTTGGATAAACATGGTGCGGCCGCCCGGCCTTAGTCGTCAGTCCCAGGGCTGAGCATGCGGAATGTCCCCGCGCAGTGTCATGTCCGCAGCGGGTCCCTGTAGAACTCACTGTCGGTGGGGCAGTCGCCCTCCATGCCGATCACTGGAAGGCATTTTTGTGATCGTATATTCTCCTGCGTCGATTATGACAGCCTCCCGAGGTAGCATGGCCACCGCACCGCCTGACGTTCAAGTATGGGATCATCTTTGCGTCACTGGAAGAAACGGCACTGGGTCCTGGAGACGAACTCTTGCTGTACGAGCCCGTGGCTTGTGTCTGCTCCCTTCTGTTTTGCTAGGGCTGCTGTGCAGATGTATTTATCAGGTAGATCCATTTATGGGTTTTCTTTGCCACTGTTGGCCTTTAAACAGCAGGGCTGTCCTCACAGTTCTGGGCCCTGGAAGTTCAGCACCCAGGGGCCAGCTGGCTCGGGGCTGTGGGAGGGCCACTTCCTGTCTCACAGGTGGCATCTGTATCACTTCCTGTCTCCCAGGTGGCATCTGCGTATCACTTCCTGTCTCACAGGTGGCATCTGCGTGTGACTTCCTGTCTCACAGGTGGCATCTGTATCACTTCCTGTCTCACAGGTGGCATCTGCGTGCGGTCTCCCATCACGAGGATACGAGGACACCACCCTTTTGACCTAACCACCTCCCAGCGCCCCCACAGTGGGGGGTTCATCATATGAATTTGGGGGGACCGTGAACCTTCTGTCTATGGCAATAGAATTCTCCTATGAAACCCCATGTGCCTGGAGCTTTCTGTTGGGGGAGTTTCATGGTCACATAGGAGATCTGTTGTGTCGTGTGTCTTTTAAGCAAACGGCCCCTTTTGTTTAAGTTGACAAATGCATGTGGGTAGTTTTTGTTGCAGATCCATGTTGTTGTTGTTTTTTGTCTTTGGTGTTTCTAGTAATATTTGCTATTTTATTCCTGAAATCAGATATTTGTATCTTCTCCCACCCTCTCCTCATTTTGTCAGTCTTGCAAAATGTTTGTTGACTTTGTCAATATTTTCAAAGAATTGTCGGTTTTTAAAATTGCTTTTCTCTATTGCTTCTCTGCTTTCAATTTTGATTGATTTCTGCATTTGTCTTTTCTTTCTTGCCTTCTGTTTGCTTATGGTTGATTTTATTCTTCTCTAAGTTCTCGAGATGGAAGCTGGGATTATTAATGTGAAATTTTCCTCTTGTCTGATGTATTTTTTCGTGCTATTAATTCTTCTCTCAGCCCTGCCTCGCTGAGCCCACACGTTGAGGTCTTGCATTTGTTTCCCTCGAGACTTCCTCTCTGAGGCCTGGGTGACTTGGATGGGTGCTGACTAGTGACGAGTGTCCTTTCATGATTCTCTTCCATCCGTTCCTGTTTGAGGCTGCAGCCCACAGAGATTGCAGTCAGGGTCAGTGCCGTAGACGGCACGGCAGTGGGACTTCTCCTGTGGGGACGGGGCTCAGGCTGACTTCTAGCATCGGAGGTTCCGGTTCCGACCAAATGAACCCACAGGTCCGTACACAAGCCGCTTGATTGGTGAACGTTGGGGAAAATACAAAGTGGTGAAGCGTCTCTGACTTTTTCCAAGACTGTTAACTCGTGGAGGAGGATGATGTCATGATACATGCTCACACATTCTGAGCGGCGGCTCACCCTCAGGAACGTTTGTAAATAGATCCAACCCAGTGACACGTGAAAGATGGGTCTTAGAATTCAAAAGATGAGTCATGACATCCAACATTAACATCAATCTCTTTGACCCCGGCTCAAGGTCGCGATGACTGGTTATGACTGCCTGACGTGCATGTTCCCTTTCCAAGAGACACTGTGATTGCTTTCAGGGGGACAGTAAGAATAAGCACACGACCTGTCAGATGAGACAACCCCACCCCCTAATCTAGGAGGAAGGCAGCACACTCAGAAGCAGGCGCAGTGGCCTCTGGTTTCACGGAGCTCCTGTGAGGAGCCCACAGCGTCTTCATTCCAAGTGTTTTCTTTATGTCACTGGGTCAGTGGATGCCTCCTTCAAAAAGAACATTCCCAAATGTGGTTTAAGTGGACAAACTCTGGTGACCGGAGTTGCTCAATTACCTAGCAGTGCCTTGTGCACGGGTCATGTGATGGCCCAACGGTGTATTTCAAATGAGCATGCCACCGTGAAAGAGGAATTAGATGTGTTCATTAATCAGCGCCAGGGACACATTCCCGCCTGGTAACCGCATCCCCGTGTTTCTCTGAATTACAGGCTATCGGGGTTCCAGCTGCCCTCCGCCATCGTGAGTTCCGGCTCCATCCTCACGCTGTGGTTCACCACCGACTTCGCCGTGAGCGCCCAGGGGTTCCGAGCCCTGTATGAAGGTAGGACACCCCGTGCGTGCACGGTGCCCCCGACGGCCGGGCAGATGGCTCACGCCTGTCGCTCTAGGTTGCAGGTTTTCGTGTGAATGTGAATCTCGGGTTCCAGGGGCTGAAATGTTTGAATCTGGAGCAATGCCTTGAAGATTGGAGACTACTATTTGCTATAATTGCCAACAATTTTTTAGAAAAAGGTGTGTTTACAATTCTCCTTTATCGATAGAACTCTTTTTTATTGGAAAAGCGGTTTTTCTTGTGACATAGAGTTTGGAGAAGTTTGCGTTCTAATGGGCAGCACCCCTTTACCGTGGAGAATTTATTCTTAATACAGATGAGTTCTCTTAAAAAGGCTGCTGCATAAGAATGCAGACAGTGCTTACACAAAGGGAGTTCTTTTTGATGAACATTAGTTTTCAAAGTTGAAATTGTTCATGGAGACGGTTATTTTGACTTTAGTGTTTGGTCATTGGCAGGCCTCGGGGCTTGGTTCTGTGTGTGTTCGGACCCGTGTCTTGGTACCTTTGGGCGCGTGAAATCGGTCTTGAAGACTCCTGAGCAAACATGTTAACAAGAGCACAGAGAGGTCGCGCTCTGAGGGGAAGTGCCGCAGGGGGCCCAGCGCACTCTGACTAGTGACCCTTTCCTTTGTGCGTGAACGCCAACGTGGGCCCGTTTTCGTTGGTTCACAGAGAAGTCGTACAATCTCTTCCGTGTGTCACACAAAGGCTGTGATGTTTAACATAAACTCCCGGGAGCTGAAAGACTGTGGATGGGGTGGAGGCCGATCCCTGGCGGCAATACACACCTTTGACCTCGGATGTCCTCTGGGCTCAGTCACACCTTCATCTTCCTGTTGGGGGAACTGGCTGCGCTCCGGCAAAAGGCATTCTTCGCGGGAAATAAAATCGACGTCGCTTTCTGCCACGGAACTGGGCTGCCACGCAATTACCGGAGAACATACGGCCGACTGCCCTCCCTGCGCGTGTTTAAACAAGCCAATGTACCCTTTTCCTTAAAGTTTTACGTGGAATAATCCTTAGGATGGTCCACGGTTCTGACTTCTGTGTCTTCCGGCCTCGGTGTTTATGCCTCCACCCGCGTCCGTGGCTGAAGGGTGGATAATCTTTAAGTAGATCGTGGACCATCAGGGATGCTGTCTTGTTCAGAGAGGAACAGGCCGTGGAAGAGGGACAGGTGCTATTCTCCTTCAAGTTTATTGTGTCGACCACTCGCGAGGCAGCCTAAGGTCACACCATCTCTTTTTTACAAAAGAGGTGTTTCTGAGGCCGCCTGTGGTACCTGCGGAACCTGGCTGTCCGCCCGTGGTGTGCTACTTGGGGAGAAGGTGATGCAGCGCCCGCATGTGGGAACCCTGGCACCCCCCTCCCTCCCTGAGAAAGCGGGGCCCGGACAGTGTGCTGTGCTGGTTTCCTGATAGAAACGCTGTAGGGACGTGGGGATGGGTGAGGGCCAGGTGCCCAGCCCCGTGAGCTTCCTGAGCTGTTGTTGCTGGAATTATTGGCTCCCATCGTGGCTTAACGTGAAGCCGTGGGGGGGATTGTCTCTGCTGGAAAAATCTTTATGAGTTTCTTTAAAAAAAATTCTAGAAAAATTACTTGAAAAGGGAACAGGACCGCACTTTAAAGGTAGTGTTTTTAAAGAGTTGATATTTGGAAATGCTACTATTGTAAAGTTTACATTTCAAGAGGACATTAAAAGAATATAGTCTCTTTACCCGTGGCTGCAAACCTTTGTTTTGAAAGGAAAAAGCTAATCAGAAAGTGCTTTGTCAGCAGAACCAGAATTGCAGAGAGAATGAATATCAGTATTTTAAACGTGCTGCTCAATTAGCTTAAAGGTCTCCCGAGAAAATGAGTGTGTACTGTCTGGAGAAAAACCGTAATGATCGTCTGAACAGAAGAATAAAGAGCAGAGAATTTATCTAAAAGGAGCAAAGCTCCCAGCGCAAGCACCAGCTGACGGATATGTAAATCTGCTCCCACCGTGAATTTAAATACGATATCAAGGCAATGTCACCACAAAAAGTGAGATGTTATTATGGACAGAATGTATAAAATATAGCATTTAAATATAATATAAAGCAGAAACAATATAATTGGCAGAAACAAATCTAAAATACTTTTGGAACCAGCACATTGAGTCCTTTTGATGAGTCAGATTTCCTTCTTTCCCATTAGGTAGTACTTGGGTGGGACTGCCCGTCACATAATTAATATCAGCCAGATAATACAATAACATGTCGATGTCTTATTCAAGACATTCAAAATAAATTTAATTTATTAAAAAACTAAGTCAGCATTTAAAAATATAATTCACTCTACTCCTTAATCTAGTATTATTTTCTTCCAATTAAAAATTAGAATTTATTTAGTAGTATCAGATGGATATTTCATTTTTCATTTAAACTTATTTGCTTGAATTGGAGAAAATCTTTCAAACTTAAAATCTGCCTAAACACTATGCCCTTGGTAAGAAACTTAATCTGGGCACAAACTTTTTAGATTTCTGGCAGTACTTTGGAATAGTTAATATTTATGTGAATTATTATTTATACATGGAAATATTAATCTAGATAACGAATATGGAAATAATAAATTGAAATTTTCTAATTCATATGTTCAGTCATTGAATTTAACCCTGATAATCAAATGGGAATATTTATAAATTTCACACTCACTTATTAAATAGGGAGCCCTTCAGGGTGTTAGTAAGTTTGTAGATTGTTGGTGAAATCAACAAATTTTAACTCATAAATATGGAATAATGAAATTGAAGTTAAAAACATAACGGGGTGTTTGTAGTAATTTATATGCTAGTTTCATGGTTAGACATTATTCTTTACGGTAACCCAAAGAATTCACATAATTTTCCTTGGTGAATTTACAGCAAAAAATATTGGGGTTGCTTGTAATTTGCAGTGAAACGGAACGCTATCAGAATTCTTGTATTTGTCCGATAGTGAAGAGCTGTGTACGGAAGTGGGACTTACTTCTCTATTTCTATTTGTCGCCCTTCCTTCATCAAGGTCTCAAATACTAAAAAAATATATTTATTTATTTATTTATTTATTTATTTATTTTTGTTTATCACGTTTATGACATGAAAAAGACATGGGGGTCAGTCAATAGGCATGACTCGCCGACACATGGGAGGTGCTGTCATCGGGAACATACATGACCAGGCATGGCCATCGTTAAGCGTGCCTCTAGAGACGGCGCCCGCGCACCTGTGGCTCAGCCGCGCTGTCTTCCACGTTTGCAGGAGGCGCTCCGTTTCCTGCGGAGTTTGCTCCCCGGGGACCCAGCGAGCTGAATGCGGGGACCTGGGACCGGGGAGCGTACGGCGGCAGCTCTCCAGCTCCACAGCCCTGTCACTTGGGCCTGCTGTACTTTGAAGCGCCATTCCTGTGTCAGCGCACATCCTTATCTGTCCTGAATATCCCTCCAAATGTTCCATACGCTATTTGGCCATTTTTATGCTCTGACCTCGGGTTATATTTTAAACTTTGAGGTTGCAGGAATTGTGTGTCGCATGTAGGTTGACTTTGTGGATGTTTTCCAGGTGAGCTCAGCGTGCGTCGGCACCGGCTGGATGTTTCCAGCCTCTGGTGGGAGGCAGAGTGAGTGTGGCACAGCTTCTGTTTGGGTAGAAGGGAGGCTCCCTCTGTGAGGGCGATGAGGCCGCTGTGTGCGCACCAGGCCGTGTTTTCCTCGCGGAGAACGTGGCTCAGCGCAGGGCAGGGCTGCGGGGAGCTGGGTTCCCTCCGGGCCGTCCGCAGAGGCTTCATGGGGAATGAACTTTACAGAGAAATGGGAATGGAAATCACATGCGTATTTTGACACAGAGCTCGCTTTTGCAATCATCGTTTGGCAAGGCGGAAGGAAGATTAAATTAGATTCATGTTTAAGACAAAGCTGATAAGAAACAAAGGAATCTAGTCCTTTAAATTTTCTTTAAACAGGCTGGCAGACACCGTGCTTAGGAATGGAAACATTTAGCCACAAATGTAGACAGTCAAATATTTTGATCAAAAAGCACTAATTATACACCCTCGACAAAAATCCTTAGCTTCCCAAGGTACCCTCTTTGAATTCATTGGCCTTCCATTTCATGCATGAAATCTATAAGAATCTAGTGCATGAAGATCTAGTTTAATGGAAAAAATACTGGAGGCCTATGGAGGGGGATTTGTTGTTAGTCAACAGTAAAAATGTGCTTGTGTCAGAAATTGCGTTTCATACAAAACATCCACTAGAGTGAGAAGAACAATTGCCCGTGAAGATGGCTTAGGGGACTCCTGGGTTAGGAGATGTTCTTCTAAGAGTTTTCTCTTTCAAGTGTGTTTTTATCTAAAAATCATTCCTTCTATCAATCATGACATATGTTCTGCTGACTGAGGTATATGTGTCCTTGTGGGTGATAGGAACAAAGAAAGGCAGATATGTAAACGATAGATATATAGGAGGATAGATGATCGGTAGGTAGATAGGTGATAGACAGACAGATAGGTAGATGAGAGATAGATAGATGAGAGATAGAAAGATAGAAAATGTGCTTAGAATGGTATAAACTCATATACATTTTGTTATTAAATCCTCAGATGATATCTACGAGCAAAGTAAAATTACCTAATATTATCAGTTAGAGAACGTGAGGGAGTGACCTCCAGCAATTGAAATTGCCAGGAGCTCATAGCTAATAAATACTGAAAGCAGCAATTAAACACAAGCCTGTCTTTTGTCAGAAGTTGTCATTCTTAACCAATCCCTATACCAGTATATCCTTTTATATACTTGTTTATTTGTGTATACACAGATATGCCCATACACATATAACTACCTGCATATGCATGCATGTGCATACACACAGATAATTGCATGTTACACGCGTGCACATCTAAGATGCACACACCTGTGTAGACGTGGTTATGTAAGTGAGCACACAGTTCTGGCCATTCATGCTCCCTCTCATTCATCACTGAG